CTTTCCCTAAAATTGCGCGCGCGATGCCTGATTACGCGACTTAAATCTAATAAAAGCGACGCTTTTTATTTGGATAGTATTGTGCAGAATCATCAGTCTTCCGGCGGGCATTATGCTGAATGCTCAGAATATGAACCAGCGTAGATGTCCCTGCTGCATTCCTACGGTAAAAAAGAGGTAAGATGTGATTTTTCTCTTGGCCAATTTCCTCGTTCTTTCTTCTTGTTCGGAGTGAACTAACAGCAAAGCATATAGGTAGCCCATTATATAAAAGTTATGTAACGGCGAGTTGAACAAGGTGATAGCAAAGGAATACGATTTTAGTACGGATTTTAAAAATTACTTCTAATTTTGGAACCTAGAGAAAATATTAATGGCCCCAGAATCATCTTTTCACTGCCCTGCGCATAGGTGTAAATCTTAATTGCAATGCGTAACATAACTTAATGAAGACTTTGGGTTTCAGAGGCAGTACCTTTGCCTAATAGAATACTCCTTCTGATCAACGGGACAGTTCAATCGGGATATGCGCATAGGGTCGGAACAACTATAAATCTCGAAATATCTGGGAAAAAATTATCAACAGAGGATAAAAAGAAGGCGTTTTGTCCGACTTTGTTCTGCCATGCACAATGAAGACACTTTTATACATTTTGTGTCGGTCGATCTTGAGACATCTGACGAGCGGGCAAGACTAGCGTGCATTTAAGGACAAAAAATCCCTACACTTGACTAGCTGTGTACAACTGAGTAATATGTTTTTTTCGGGTTTAGACCATCTATAACTTGTTCATCGCCCCAGAGGCGCCCTACACCAGAGCCAAAAATCAGGTAAAGTTAATTGTTATCATATTTTTTCCTGATTTTAACTTCAGACCTGATTCATGATTAGCTATTGAACGCATAAACAAGACCTAACTTTCTTTCATCGTATTTTACCGATTATTTCTTGTTTTCGGTTATAACGCAACCATCTGGTCCGCGTTCAAACCGATGGGTCGCATTGAGCATGTATCCGATGCCACGTATTTTAACGATCGAGATTTCAAGCAACTAATTAAAGACTATTTAATGTATGATGGATTCTATTTTATAGGGCCAATAAGTAACAGATTGTGGAGCATTATCAGCGAAAACAAAACATACACAAAGATAAAGGAACTCGTTTTCCAAAAAAGGAAAGTTGAGCAAGATAAGTAAAGGACTTTAAGATGGTCCGAAATAACTATGACAACGTAGCTATTGGTTTTGATGTAAACTAATTTTATGCTATTTGTTTCAAAGCTTGTACGAAACAACCAACGGAAAACATTTATATATGTAGCTGATAGGGTACCGACATCTATTACAAGTCGAAAACTCCAAAAATTGAACTATTTATAAAAAATGGACGACGCAAATGCCAAGTGATAACCTTCAGATTCTTATCTTTATTAAAGACCGTCTACGCATCCCAAGAGATTTCCAGCAGGCGCGATTAATCATACATTCTTTGTACTACAAGAAAGTATGATTATTTAGGTATGCGTGGGTTCCACACGCCAATGCCTATCTTCCGTCCTCTTTACATGGTGCTGTTATCGGTATACGCTGCGCGTTTACCGAGTAGAGGGTGGTAGACGTGCCTATGATTACTTTATAACAATATATCCGCGCAGGTTACCACGACGCCTGCTCCAAGACGTTAGTAACCCTCAATGACATCCCTGTCCCGGGCATTCACACGAAGCATTAGAACAACACCATTACTTGATTTTGCCTAGGTGAGGATGTCGAATCATAATTTCGCAATCAGCACTTAGCAACGCAAGGAATGAAATAAAACTTTTACCAAAATGGACACTAAAACCTAAAGTGTTGGTTGAGTAAACCCGATTTTGTGGTTGCTTTATGTTACCAAAGCCAAAGGCAGGCTAAAGAACCGTTAGATACCGACTGAAAAACGTTCATACGCACTTTTAAATGCACATATGTTAGGTTAGTTCTTGTGTCTACTAACAGCTTGTAAACCTATAAACAAAGTACTGGTATAGCAACCTAATGGGAAACGGTCACAGATCAGATTTCTTCATTATGAATTTTTTGCGCTAATGCGAACGAAAATGGATAAGGTTTCGGATGTGCATAGTTGACTTAAGTTTAAAAATGTTGAAAGGTATATACGTGATACTAGTTATTGTTAAAGTGGTGTACATCTTGGGTAAAACTTACTCTGCCTACTATCAGCCTTGACAAGCCACGTGTATGTGTGTACTAAATAAAAGAAGATTGTACATGTGGTAGACCACTGATCATAATCGGAAAAGGAGGCAGTGAAACCCAACCTTTTGTAATTCCTAAGACAACGCCGTGTTTACAAATGAACCAACGAGAATTTAGTTAAAACAACTTTAGACAAACATAAGGTTAAATCGTAGAAAATACAAGGAAAAAATATTTGTATAGTTCCAAAAAGATCTCACCAAAGAACTCAAAAAGAATTTTTTTGATATAAGCAGTTCTCAGGTCGTTTACCAAGCTCCAAGACGCAGAGAAAACTACATAGGTCAAATGTGAACAGATAAAATACAATTTTATAAATATTCTGTGAATTAGTGGAAATTTTCCCTCCATAAGATCGCTTGAAATACCACTTTACCGTGTATATAATCTTATGTGATTTTGGTTGTAATTAGGAGAACTGAGTAGGAGGTCTTCGTGCAGACATTAACTAAGGGGGCTTTACAAAGTTGACAAGGGTCGTGGGATGGCTTATCATCCGCATATTCGAACCATCGGAGTTCTGCCACTTTACAAAAAATGTTTGTGAAGTAAATGTCCACAACCTAGCACAAACCAATGTAAGGCATATATAAGGATTTTCGCTCCAGTGAGGTGCTTCTTTATGGTTTCAAACCACGCACGCATGCTACGGGAATATTTTAATCAACAGAACCACTACTATGTGGCGAATGAATTTTTATTTCTAGCCCTACAGTTCTGTACACGTAAAACATGAGTAACGAAGATATTTTAAAAATTTCGCTCTCATCGATTTCTCACTACGCTGGTAGACAAACCGCTCTTGTAATCCCCCTTCACTTTTGCAATTAGAAATTCGAATTTCAAGTTGCGAAAACTGCTTATGTCATTGCAAGTCAGTCATCTGGCAGTTTCAAAACCCGTTTGACTTCTACGGCATTAGTAAAGTTTGACTCATTATCGGCATTCCCGTTTCTTAGTGTCTGTTCTCCAACCACTTGTTGCCGAAGTTGCTGCGCATCTTGCAACGGCTGCAAATGTTGCCAACAGAAAGATGACAACTTATACTTTCTTGGTGAAACCGAGCTCTTTGCAAGCAGGTAGGCCTTCTTGAGGGTCTTTACATTTGCTAATGTCCAAGGCATTTTACTTTAATATAGTTGTTTCATAGCTGAGATCTCGCAGTGGAAAAAGCTACTTTTAGAAATCAACAAGCACCAAGATCGGAGTTTGCGCAACTACATGAAACACTTTGTTAAATTTATCTAGTAGTTTGTTTTGCTAAGGAAGTGTTGACTAAAAATAGTTTGAGAAAGCGTCGTATGACCGAAGTATGAAAGTCCTTCTGTTAATTTATTTTTAAATTGCTACTTGTGCAAATGGTGTCATTTGCTTTACTACAGCAGCATTATTCACAAAGTGGTATAAGCTCTGAGGACAAGGGACGCAAAAGCGACTTTCACATGTGCACTCTCATATAAAGAGCGCGAAGAGTTTTATCTCAGAGTAAGATATCAGTAGGTGTGCAAAATCGTGAAATGTTGACCGAAATTCCGAAATCGTTTCCGGCTCAAAAAGAGTACGTAAGTCGATTTGCAACATGAAATATCGTGCAGTATGATTCCAGAATATTTCATTTATTTCAGGATGCCGGTCTTTGAACAAACCTTTTTTCTGGCCGCCTGCGGAAATCAAACTCTGTAGATAGGGACTGCTTATTTAGTATGAATTTTCTTTTTATTCACTTTTGACGCCTATCGCAAATTTAAATAAACTTCTTAAAACACATAAATAGAAATTTTCCTACTTTTAATCATTTAAAAAAGAATTAAGTCTTCTTCAAGAATTATGCCTCAAAAAAGTAAGTGGTTTGTTTTTGAGAGAGTACCTATGAAGGGGATTTTTAAGACCGTTTAACTTCCTGCCATAAGACGTCGTGCCTCTGCTTTTACTAATGTTGCTTGTTAAGTTTACAATATGACTCAAACACACTGATACATTTTATGAGCCCAGAGGTTCTGGAATGCGTTTTCAATTAAGAAGGATTATTTTGGTGGATTGTGATCATGATTATCATGCGATATAATCCCACAGTATTTCAGATTTGCCAGAATATCGGCTTTTGAACGCACTTCTTTTCGACTTTTTGCAGGAACCACAATAGGTGAAAAATGAATGCTTAAGCAGCATGCGTTTTTCACACTCATTTTTAATGTTCTTGTATATTTAAATATATTTCGCAGAAAACATGCACAAAATGTGCTTTTGTTTACTCTTTTGGTTGAAAATCAAATTGTCAGCACATCTTATACTTAATGAATTTGCGTATAAAGGTTTTGAAAAAGTTTCCCAATTTCCGAATAACTTTGAGCTAAATTAACCTTGCATTAGCGCTTTACGATGCAGTTTCAGTCCGAACGGCGCATGCTTTTCACGTAAGAAGAATCATATTTTCCTCAGTGCCCTTTAAGGAGAGACACTGCGTACTTCATAAAATTTTGCAATGAATGCGGATTTTGTTGTACATTTCATTAGGGAAGCATTAGTGAACGGACACCTGCGATGCTGTATACGTGGACATTGCACATTCTCAAAAATCTCACAATTAGAAACTTTTTAAAACCAAAACATAACGTTTCTTAGGGTATAAGATGTGATGACAATGTGATTTTTAGCCAAACTGGTAACCAGAAGCGCATTTGGTGCATGTTTTCTACAAAATATATTTGAATTTATAGGACAGTTAAAAATAAATATGAAACCGCATGCTACTTATGTAGTTATTTTTCACCAAGTGTGGTTTCTGCAGGAAGTTGAAAAGAAGTGCATTCGGAAGCCGACATCCTGGCAAGTCTGAAATACTATGGGATTATGTCACAATATACTTATTGCTGCAACACACCTAAGTATTATTTCTTAATCGAAAAAGCAGCTCAGAACTTCCGCTAACATTTCATGGGATCGGTCGCGCACTATATCTTATCTCCTCTTACCATCCAGTGCCTGAAGTTTGAAGTATTCTGGTTTTAACCATGAGTCGTTTTTATCTGAACTCAAGTGTCATATAGTAGGCTGCCTATATATCATTTAAAAGGTCCATCATAATTATTTAATGAAAAGGCATTTTAAATCTGGAACTTAAAACGGCATAAAAAATTTGGAAAACGCTGGAGCACTTGTCAAATGATTTATGGACTAAAATTTTTTATAAACATAACAGCTAATTCCGGTAAAGCAATTGCTTGAGTTTGACAGTTAGGAGATCACATGTGCAACATTTGTTAAGAAACAATTAACTGCTGGAAATTCTGAAGCACTCCGTGTCATCTATCCGTTGCTTGTTTAATAGTATTTTCTGTTAAGGTCTGTACATATACTGCGCAAAACTTTACATAAGAACGACAAGTTTTGTAAAGTCTGTTTTAGCCTTATGTTATCAGCGCCGTCTAATCAGAAATAAAAAATGTTTTCGCAGAAGGTGACGTCTGATTTTTATGCATCATATCTTTTGCACGCCCATGGACAATAATGCAAGCGAAGTTGATACATGTTATAAAATTATCTTCAATAATTCTCTCCAGAACAACTGTGTTAAGATCACAGTCGAAATAATTTTCGACTCTTAAATATATGGCAGCTTATAATAATTAAAGTCGTATAATCTTTGATAGTACTCTTTGCATATTTCTATTTTGGATGCAGGTGTTTGGTAAATAACCACAAATCCGTTTTTCATTAGTGTCTTAATATGAGCATTGCTTCAGCATACTTCCACGTTTACTCAAAAGAATTTATTATAGTTTTAAACTCAGACCGATAGTGTGACCTGGTTTATGTGGTATGAGAAATACATAAACATTTTGATCGGTTGACGCCTATTAGATTTTCATCTAATCTTTTAGTTATCTATCAAACTACAGTTTTTAGTAGAAAATACAAAAAACTGCATGTTTAAATTTGAAAACGCCGACGACATGTATGATGGCTACAACGGCCTGCAGTTACCACCACCAAGTCTGTGCTCGCCGTTGGGTTGGCGTCAGAAAACGTCTGGTGTAAAGCATGTGAGAGTGGTCCATGATCTAAAGGACTGCAAAAACGTACTTTCAGAAACTGATGGAAGGACGCATATGGTCCATCTCAAGCCCAAGCTGAAAAACTCCTCTTTATGGATATTTTTGTCGACCCAAAGTTAACAGGATCTGAGAGTACCTGACGAAGTAAAAAAGTTATCAATCATTCACTCTATATAGGCAGGATGTATTTCCCTATCGATCAGGCCACAAACAACAAAGCTTGTAGTACATTACCAGAACTTGGATAGAGGATGTTCCCTCACAATGTGAGAGCCGTCAACTGGGTCGAACATTTATCTCTGCTGATTGTTTTTAACTTAATCGATTTGAACATCCCCTAAATTCGTACACCACTAAACAAACGGTGCTTGAAATAAGGTCAAGGAATATCTAAATGGAAGACTATGACCGAATCTTCCCTAAACAAAACAGAATACGTTGTACGTATCAAGTGTGATGTTTTTCTAAGTGTTGTTTCCTATAGTAGTTCTTAACAAATCTATGTATCTGGCTAAAGGAAATGTTTTCATTCAGAACCCCAGATTTTCACCGGGATAAAACTTAAAATACCCATCGCACAAACTTTAATATCCTGTAGCGTTGTATTTTCACGGTATCAGTAAATACGCTGGCGGCCTACATTGGAACCATTTGCTCCAACTCCCGATAGCAATCAATGTTCTAAACAACTCAGAAAACTGATAATCCTTTAATGAGCCCATATCACATGGCCCATCAGTTTTTACTAAGATAGTTCCATTTCCGAAGATGTTGACATTTTCACGCGACCTGTTTAGAGTGGCCTGTACTGCTGTCCGATCTTTCGATTGGCATACGGTACCGCAGCAATATGGTATACTAAACGTTAAACATGATTTATATGTTTGTCTCTCTCCAGGCTAACCTTATTTTAAATAACTGCCTTTCATCTCGTGTGATACTTCTACTATGCTTTTATTTGCAAGGCTGTGCCTCCGCTTGTTGTTATTTTAGAAGCCTCATAAAGTACCTAAAAGAAACGCTTGGGAGGTCGGACTCCGAGTGCATCAATGCACCCGTGCGTAAAAACAGATGAAATTATTTCATACTATCATTTTATGCTTTCCGATCCCAATATTATTCCCTATCTTGCAACCTTAGCGCCATTTTTGTGTTAACTCTAGAGTTTCCTAATGCAAGAACCTTCAAATGTTTGTATCTGCAAACAGACTTTAGCACCTGAGGCTTGAAATCATTAGAACTCCTTTTTACGATTTTCCATTTGATTGAAAAGTCCAAACTCGCGATGGAACTAAAGACGCTATTAAATTTGGCACACAGTTTTGGAATAGACTTAACATTCGTCGGCACAAATACCGATTGATTTAAAGATGCTGCTCTTCGTAGGCCAGAGAAATTTGGCCATATTAATTCAGGAGGTCGTTTTTGCTTGAGCTACTACGATTTCTAACTCTTTTTTTAACAATGTCGTGACATTCTAGCCTCACCAACCAAACAGTTCTAAAAAGCAGTTTCATTCCACCTATCCTTCTTTACAGCTGCAGTACCGTTTGTGTCCGGTAAACAAGCGTGACCTTGAAGACGGTAATTTTTGTGTAAAAAGAGGTGGATCATTGCATGTAAACAGTAAATTAGCTAAAAGTGTACTCGATCATACATTTATGCAAAATGGCTCTCAGTTGCATTTTATCTATTTTTATTCATCAGATATTAAACCACAGCTTTCTTATTCTGCATATACCTTCCAAATAAAGGAACGAACCTAAATATTAAAACGAAACATCATTTTCATGTGCGAAACCATGATGCCAAACATAAAAGTATGTACATATCAATTTGTCTTTTTGCGTTTAAAAAGACAAGATTAAAATTTTGAACGGCGTTGTGTAATGAGAAGGTAGCTATTCCTTATAGAACAATACGAGAGGTTTTCGGGAAACATACTGTCAAAAATGTTGACTTGGTGGTTATAATTCTCAATGGATTTTTAGGTGATGTCGTACTACAAACTTGCAGGGGACAGTATTTGAGAGTTCTCGCTCCAACCGACTGTGCTCATGGATGTCAGTACTACATCTGCACAATTTATGGTAGGAAAATTACTACTGCTCTCGTCTTTCGAAAGATTGAACGTATCTACGATTTCACAATTCACATTTAGAGGCCGAAGAACCTGAAACTGAGCCACCCTGCGTCATATGCGATGATGATTCATCGGATTCCTCGTGAGAAACTGGTCTTCGTTCTATTGCATTTGAATCATTCATTGTTCGTTTGCATCTTTGCCTATTGCTGCTTCAAAAAATTAAACTGGTAAACTATATTTTTACCCTTTGCTAGGTCATCTGAGGAGGAAGAAGTATACTTGGCTTGCAAATGCCAGCCACCACGTCCTTGCAGGTAGGAACAATAAACATTTTTTTCTTAACTTAATGACCACTTTATAGACAAACAAAAAAATTGCCGCTTTTGATTTCCGAATGTCCGAAACAGTTAGTGAATGTGATTGTAACTGGGTTTCTAGAAAAACCTATAACCAGACCCCATTGGAAAACACCTAGCATCCATCAACATGTAACCGATTTCAACAAAATATTACCGACCGACTTTGACTGTGTGAAACGTAAACAGTGATATCTAAATATGCAGCCTTGACAAGATCAGTAACCCCGAATATGGTAGTCAATAGATGGAGAGATATTTTAAATATCCATACTATTAATCATAGTACATTAAGGCATAGCGAGTCCAGGCTATTGTCAACAAATTGTCCCACTTTATCCTTCATTAGAATTCTTAAATGTTAATCGATCTTGAAGGCACTTCACCCAACAAGCAATTATGGTCATTTCTGAAAATGGAAACAGATGTTAAGAAGTACCCTTATGACCTGGGAAGTTTTTTAAGTTCATGTTTATAAATATTCTTCTGCAATCTTCCGAATTTAAGTGCATTCATACTGTAACCCATAATATTACACTCCAAAAGTTACAAAACCTTATATACTGTGGTTTGGAGACATCCAAATTTTGCTATTTTTCTGTTTCCTAAATGGCTGCATCCTCCAAGTAATTATAGCACAAGAAAGTTTTAGCACGATAGTTTTCCTTTATGCGACCCAATCTTGAAACTGCAAAAGACTAGCCAAAAGTCCTAATCTTACTTCAAATGGATGTGTCTATAAAGTTTAGCGTTAATCCAAAGTCCTTTGCCTTAATTCTAGGGCCGATAGTCTGTCAAGACGTGGTTCATCACGGTGTCGGTATGTAAATATATGGTTCTCTGTGGTTACTTAGTGTTTCTGAAGTTTACATTCATTTACCATGTAGACAATATCCGTGTAACGTTAGATACTGTATCTTTATGGGTGGATTTCAACTTAATTTAATGCAGTGGATCCACTAAGTTGCAATGGTAAGACGTTTGTTTGCCTGTGTCCTTCAGCACCACAATCCCACTGAAACAAAACTAAGAATAACATCTATTAATTCGTATATTTAGCTCTTAAAAGCAGCAATTTTGCACTTGCTTTATAGTGTCTTGATACTATTGCGCACAGTACATCAATTCAGAGAAACAGTTGTCTCCACACTGGAATATTTTCACATCACATGTTAGAAAGCTTCGTGCCAAAACTACTGAGCAAACAGGATAACGTTTTACTTAGTAGGTATAAATAATATTTGATCAGGTCTCACACTTAACATGAAATATTTTCAGACCCATATAAAAATGAAAAAACTCTAATCCTTAGAGAGCAGACTTATTTTGTTGCAACCATTATAATTAAGCAGACGCGATGTTCCAGAAATTTAAAAAAGCAAAACTACTTCTTACACGACTTAAGGAATCATATTGATTAAAAATAACTGTCCCCGATGCCATTTTTATGATCTGCGGATTTCTCAGTTTAACTGTAGTTTTTAGCATTGTTAAGAGCACAGTATCTGCAAATATATCTCTTAGCCGTTCAAAACAAATTATTACGTCCTCTTTAGCAAAGGCGGAACAGAATATGTTTGTGGAAAACATGTGAATAGCGAACATAATTTGAAATGCGTCAGGTTGATACAACACCATTTATGCTGCACATCTGAATACCAATTTACTTAGTAAAAAGTAAAAAATCAAATTGCGAAACTGTCGGTTTCTGTAGTCGTAGTGGTAGTTGACAATTTCACAGGGAATGGTGGAGAGTTTATTAGGTAGTGGTTCATGTTTATGGATGCTAACTACGAGAGATCTCCATACCATTGTTCTTTGTTTCTAAAAATCGTCCCTAATTCAGTCATTTGAAAACTGTAGACGTTCTTTTAAAAAAATAATAAATCCTGCATTATTTTATCTCCATAAACCGGTGTTGTCTAAATATCATCCTCCAATTTACCAGACAGCCGTAATTTCGCTCTTAATTTTCCGAAAAAGTGCTTCCCCTTGAATGTTAGGTATGACTGATTTTTCTGACTCCCAAATGCTAAGACGTAAGACAAAGTTAGTTGCGTCATTTAATTTCGGATAGATAAGCCTCCGACATCAAAAAAACCAAGTTTGTTTTAAGTTGTCCCATTTTAATGTTTCTTCTTTTAAGAAGAAAGTCTCGTCAACGCGCCTTCAGAATAAGAACTCCGAGCCGAATGCGAATTGTGAGAATTTTTGTGTTATTTTAGGCTCGTCGCTGAGTAACAGATGTCCAAATATGCCTTCTGGAAAATTAATCCACTTGTCATCCATGCGGTTTTAAAGTGTAAAAGGCATATTTCTATGCTTCTTGTTGAATAATTAATCAGAGGCTTTCAGTCAAAGATTGAGAAACACTTAGAAAGGTTTCAAGCTTGTCTGAAAAACTGCCTGTTTCTAAGATATTTAAAAATGATTATGCTTGACTACATTCCTATAAACTAGGTAAAAACAAAATTAAGTTGTCAAAAAGACCTTGTTCTCGAAACTGTTACAGTGTTATCTTATTGCCTTGAGTTTAAGTCTATCCTACTTGATTCCTTAAACCTCAGGCGTTATGTAAAACGTCAGTTTTAAATGAATGTAAAGTAGTCAGTTTGTTGAAAACTTCGATGTTCATCACAACTTTATATCTCGATATTTCCATTTGCCTTATTTCAGGTGCTATCGGATGATTCATGCTAGGCCTCCGGAATGGCAAAGCTTCTTTCTGTGTGCTAGAAGTTTTAAAGATTTGAGCGTATTCTGTTTGTTGTTTCAAAATAAATATTAACTTTTCTTTTAAAAAACCAAAATAAGTACTTCTACGAACGATAAGGAGTGCGGATATTGAAGTCCTAGAAGGCTGCTGATAACGTTTATAGAGACGCTCTGACCCGATTGTAAGAAAATCAAAGGTTCTTTATTATGTGCAATAATTTGCAAAATTTAAGGCAATCAGAGCTTCCAGCATGGACAAAGGTTTACACAACCAACATTCTCATGCAAAAGAATGAACAGACATTTCAAAGGTGGGTTAGGCAAGTCAGCACTTCTTCTTTCCGTTGGAATAGTCCAGAATGTAGCTTACTTCAATTCGTGAGAACAATCAATATGTAGGTATTGGAAGCAGAATGTCTAGGCGGAGCCATTGTAGTTCTCATTGGACACCTGACTGTGGTACTGGGTTAGCGCAGACTCCTTTGAAGACTTTTGGCTGCCCGTGTAGATGGCTCTACGTTTTTGTTTATTGACAAGGAATCAATAATACGTGTGCCTGCAATGAAGCCTACAGGGAGTATAAAATACAGAGAAAGCGTTGTCTTTTGTGCATATCAGGCGAAATGTCTCCAACTCCAATGAAATTATGTGAATCTTCCCCTAGGCATAAATTCACTTGTAATGGGAATATGACGAGTCGGGCAGGCACATGTACACTGGATGTGCAGCAAATCCAATGTTTTCGCAAATACGACAGATGAAGTTTAAGAAAACATCTGCGTTAAAATTTATGGCAGCTTGTTCATTTGTAATGTCAGTTTTAAAGTTTGAACTATGCGAATGTTTCCTAACCTTTAGTAAAGGCATTTAGTTGGTCTTTTCGAAACACAAGTCCAAGCTGCAAATTCTGCGTACATTTTTTAAATGACATAATCAGAAGGTCTTCCATAAGCCGCGAAGAAATATAAACTGGATCTCTTAAAACTGTCCATATTAAAAAAAGTTCATTGCTTTTTGATGGCGACTCCGTGAACGCGTCTTTGAGTATTATCCTTATTTTAGTCTGTGTCGCAAATTAAATTTCAGGCAAAAAACGTTGTTTTCACACTTGTGAACAAAAGATGAGTATTAGGCTATTTTAAAGGATTCTCGAACAAACCTCATCGTCTGGATAATCAGTTTTCATAGCTTAGGTGCTTAATAGGCATTCGTTCAATAATGATTATCGAAATGGAAACTAAGACACACGGATTAAAGTTAGAAACTTACGCGACGAATGGTGTTGTGTTGGCCACTGCCACCACTTTGTGCTGTGTAAATTGTTCATTATTTCCAACTGTTGCGTACTGATGGAGGTCTAATTTCCTTTCAATCAGACTCGTATCATACAGGCTGAAAAATTGACTAGACATTCGGAATTTTTGGAAGGGAACATCTTTCCACGTTCATAGCTCGAAGACCGTGGGGACTACAGTTTATTCAGCAGAACATCCGACTCAAAATGAAAATTGTCAGTTCGGTCTATTAAAGCATATTTAGCAACCACGTACGTTTATCGGTTCCTTTCAGTTCAAAGTGTCACAGTTAAGGAAGGCGCACTCATCTTTAAGCGCAATATGCCCTATTAAATATAATCAACAACCTCTAGATTCCTCGTGCCCTTCGGCACCTTGGTTACTAACTCAGATCCATGAACTGAAAACTGAGAGTGGCGTTTCCATAAATCCTATATTTTGGCAAAACACTCTGTCGAACACTGGAGTGATGGCATTCTGAGGTTCGCTTAGAAACGAATAGTGTTTACTGGACGCAAAATGCACTATTAAAAATATCTGGCGGATCGAATCGTCGTCCGTTATTATAATTGCGTGGCACCTAAAAACGATACGATGGTTGACCGTCGAACCTGATTTCAGAATAGCTCACTTGGAGCTGGCGTCCTAGACTCGGGATAAACGTTTCTACCTTACATTATGAATGCACTTCCAGAAGTGAACAAACCATCTTTTCACATAAAACTTATGGCTAAATAACCAAGCGTGGAAATATCCCAAATCCGGTGAGTATTCTAGCCCATGAAGTATGCTCAAACTAATAGGCAACCATAAATATAGCAAAATCTGGTCCACGTGTATCTATCAAAACACAAAACTGTGATGAACGACATCTGGCCAAATAAAAACACAAAATTAATGTTTGAATTAATATTTCTTTGATTAAAAATGACATGTTTCCCGTGAAGAGCAGATAGATCGAAAACGCGAAACGTCAAAAACGCAGATATGATGAAGACATATTTCAAGTGTGTAGACTGAAGGTCTAGAATTACGGAATGCTTTTCACGAAAATAACTGGTCAAATAGGACGACATAGACAAAACAACATTCAAATATCTCCCAAAAATTAGTGTTATTTTGAGAACGAAAAAAGATCAAGATCGTAATATCTGTTAATGCTTTTCATGACCTTTTGTCAGAAATCAATGTAATTCTTCCGTTTTTATATTGTCAGACATATGGCCAGTCAAGATAAAGGGGATATTTAGTATGGTTTTCAGTTGGCAGAGACGTCATATGAATAAGCATATTCGTAAAGTGAAATTTTGGCCGGCCGGCCAGTGGCTTAGGAAGCGAAATAGACCGGACAAATATAATCATGAGTACACCATTTCCTGTGTAACAAGAGGCCTTTTTACTCGTGAAATAAACGTGCAGTCTATGGGCTAGCGCAGTTCGTCGAGTTTTACTACTCTTAGAATATCGGAGAATATTTCATATTTTTCGATAGTTTTAATCCGCCGTTCAAAAAGCCAGGCTTTGTCCTATGAATTCATCAAAGCTTCAAAAAATATGTTTCTTCGAGCATGTACTGATGTACTGAGATCTTGAGTCATCTGGGTATCACTTAAAGACTCACCAACATGAAAGTGAATTGTCGAAAAAATGAACATCAGCGACTAAAGTCAGAAACAAATGTGCCCTTGACCCTTTTCTGAAATGAAGTCAAGAAAATAGTTCAATCTTTTAGCCGGCCGTTTCGGTTCCGTGATAATGTTTACTTGCAAGCAAAAGGGCCTGTCCTTCTCTTTATATTCAAGTCCTTTGTGTTAATTTCTCTTTTGCGTTTATGAATGCGCGGAAGAGTAAACAAATAAATTTTAACAGACTGCTCAAGCTGTAAATGCTCCGTTTGTCCCGTTTGGAAATCACGTATCAGCGAAAACCAGATCGCAAAACATTGCCCTACTACATGTTAAAAGGCTAATAGTGACAACTTGATGCTGGGTCTTTTCGGGTTCCTTTTAGAGTATTTGCAAACTGCTGGCTAATATGGGCGCGTTTAAACAAATACTTGCCTGTAAAAGTGATCGTTGTTTATTGAGGTGTGAAATCCCACCAATTTGAAAATCCGACACTAAAATTTATACAATAACTGGTTTTCTAAAAATAAAGTGTTTGTTCATATCCTCCTTCACCAGGCTTACGCGAAAAAACGTCAAATTTCGAATGCAACAAGTTTTGTTTGGCAAAGCTCTACAGACCCAAAAACGCCATGCCTAAATCAAGAGGCATATATTGACAAAGATATTTTAGAATAAAAATTAACGTCAAACATTACACAAATATAATGTGACGCTAATTTCTGTTCAGGGAGAAGCAGATTTTGTCTGAAAACATGATATTTTCGGGAACGCCCTAAGGAAATAATTGTAGGGCTTCATGTTTTAAATGCCTTAAAATTATTATCATATTGTTCATCATCACATTTAATTAGCTGGGCTGTATACTGTATTATACGTGGAATCGTTTATAACTACACATAACTACTTTGTGATTTTAACATTTCAAAGACAGCAAGTACATTCTTTTTATGAACTTGAAAATGAGGTTATGAGTTGCGCTCAAAACTTTACATGGGCTGTTGAATTCACGCACATTATTTACTCTCGACTGTTATAATCACAAATTTTTTGCTTCAGTACAAATCCCTGTATAACATCATTTAAAAAGACTATTGTACGCTGTGTATAGTCATGAAGCGCTTTGGCGCAAACTGTCAGTAAACTCACCCTTTTGACCTTAAAGTGTCAGTTACGCAGCATGACAAGTGAAATCCAAATATAGTTAATAATTATTTACCGGAAAAGCTTGTATTTCATATGTATAGATTATTTTTTTCTTTCACTCAGATGGTCTAGCGTGAAAACCGAGCCATTATCACCATGGACGAGGAAATTTGTGTGCTATCTTATATGGTTTGAATGAGTCCCCCATAATATTCTCACTTTTCAGAGGGTTTAAATATTAAAAAGATTAGGTAACGGTTGTGACTCGCCACTTTTGCAACGTATTTGAGTTCATATTTAGCATTACAATAAATATTTTAACAATCTGACGAAGGTTGCCTTGCCTATGCAGGCAATTCCAACATGCGATGTATGTGTTCATCTGTGGCGACAGGTTCAACAAGCAAACGCAACGGCATCTAACGGACAATGCAGTTTAATCCTTTTTAAATAAATATATCGCGTTCTGTCACTTCCACTTGGGTCGAAATTCCAAAAAAGGACTTTTCAGCCGCAAACACTTTAATAGCGAAAATGAAATAAGGTTAAACCGTAAAAGTAAATGTGGTAACTTGGTGTTTAACCAGCGATTTTCTCTTCAAGACTTGATTAACATTGCCTGCACCTGGACTGATCCTCAACATGAGGATTTTCAATGCCTTGACAACGACCGTCGGAAGCTTGGCCTCCTGCCTTTGCAATGGCATTCGTATCTGCCATATTTCTACTTGCCAGCACTTTCTCATGGCTGTGTAGATGGACGCGAGCTCAATGAAAGACAATATGACTGATATGATAAGGGTCTTAGTCGATTAATCTTATGGGCAAAAACTAAAAATGTGTACATTGGCAAGGCATCCTTTGTCCGGTTAACTGGAAGGCTTTTTGTGGAACTGATGAAAATAAGCTGTGCTGCGTTGTACGTTCTGTCTATAGTGCAACGCAAGCGTCGCTTGATTGTGTTTGAGACGTTGTCACCCTTAAAAGGTAGACATATTATAACAGGCTTCTTCGGAACCGACTGTTCCGTCAACTTTGGTCGTAAAGGATGCCTTGCCAATGCACGCCACCCCAAATTGTGTGCATGAATTCACATGCACTTGCGGATGAAAGTATCTTGGGCGAACGCAAAGGCAACTGGCAACCAGGGCCGCTGAGCACTTGTCTAATTGGCTTTTCAAACAGGTAAACAAAACCCCGCGTTCGTCTATAACAAAGCACCTGTTAGACAGCGGTCATGTTGTCGACCCTAAAGAATCTTTTCGAGTACTTGTCCGAGGGCATACAACTCGAAACTTGCGTTATTTGGAAACAGCTTACATACGGAGAGAGAAACCAGATCTGTGCAAACAGTTAGATGACGTGATCAATCTGCAATTGCACTGGTAATCTCACGCCTCAAGTTACACCTGACTGTGATTTATTGTTAACATTTCGTTTCCCTGTTTCCTGTATGATGCTTATTTGGACGTCTTATCCTGATTGTTGATTTCCTTGAACCTTGACCTTGCTCTTATGCACTGCCATTATATACAAATTCATACTGCTATGCGCTTCCATTCGTTACCTATATTATGCAGAGACGGGCTGCAGTTGAAAAGCCGTCACGAAATTCATTGGCCCCAATAAATTCTGCTGTACATGCTTGTTTTCAATTCATACGGGGGAAAAATGCTTCAAGTTTTTGTTTTTGTTAACATTATTGTGTCAGTTCCTCATCAGTTAGCGAATGCAATTATCATTTAATCTTGGTAATCTCTATCCCATTTTCTTATTACTACCCTTTTGATTTGTGTGCAAATTGCTAGGACTGTAGGATAATCTTAAAAAATGAATAGCAACTATTATAATAAAACTTTGCCATGGAAAACGAATATTGAAGACCTACTTTTCTCTCATGTTCCATCAGTCGACCGTACTTTCTAATAGTTTTCGCAGCGTGTTGTTTGCAAATAGATAACACCTCGCTACCAGACCAAACGTCTTAGACCAAATGATTGAAGACCTATCCTTTACTAACGTTTGCCACACTGAGAGGAATTTTGTGCTGATTAAAGGCAAGAACAAGGGTCTAGGGTATGTACGGTAGATGGGATATCTTAATAAATGTTGACCAAAGTTTTAAAACATTTTTCGTGCAAAAAATCCCAATACATTCTAGTCAGGGCAAGCGCATGGCTTTCAAGTAAGTTTGTTCCCGGCAGTCAGCAAAAACTACTCCCTGTAAAAAATAGCTACTAGGCAATGTTGATTTATGCATTTATATATATGTTATTAAAATGTAGATAAAAAACCGATTTATAACAGTGTCTCATTGCAATTCTGGAATGAAAATTGAACTTACTATGTCTACATTTATTAGTACGAAAACGTAACCTTTGGTAGACGATTTTACAGCCCTTTGACTACTGATCTGAAAAATTCTAAATAAAATTAAGTAGGCATAAAGATTTACTTACCCGAAAATGTATTGATTCGGCAGTTATTGCGTTTTTGCCTTTCTCTTGTAAAAAAATGGCCAAAAAGCCGCAAAAATAAAGGAAAAAAACAGCTCGTATAACGAGAGCTATTCGATGGCTTTTTGTGACTTATCTAGTGAAGAATGTGGGAATATTGTGTTCACGCTCTGGAATCCATATCGAATTCCATGTCAGTTGTGTAACGTAGACGTTGTGAACGACCATGTCAGTTTCCTTTACTTTAAGGGATTTTGATTCATCGGAATATGCGCCATTAAACATTACCAAAGTCTTACATAAGAATTATCACATAACAGTTGCCATGTGTTTTATTGGAGTGAAAATCCAGTCGTAGAGAATGCGATACTTTATGAGGAAGATTAGAATCTTTAAAAGTCGCTACCTGACAAATATGTTTCCTCTAGTATTTTACACCGGGGCAAATCAATCGACGATACTGTTAATTAATCCGCACAGAGACGTAGGTATGTACGAAAGAACTGCGTTTTCAAAAGTGGCACAAAGATATCTCTCAACATAATTATTAAAAATTCGCCGAAGTTTATTTGCGTACGTTGGCATAACTGGATATGTAGAGGGTACTATGTCAATGCCCTTTGTAACTCAGAAACATGAGTAACGCAAATGAACAGAAGTGTAAAGTGGGAAACACAAAACACTTAACTAATAAATATCAGCAGAATACTGGGAATAGCGCGTGTGTAGGATGTTCTATCGATGCATTTTGGGACACTATGGGGTACAAGATAATGTTAGCATGTTAACTCATCTGTCGCGTTCTACATCTTATAATCGACAATTGTTAAGTGGCTGTTTACAATATCAAGCATCTCAGGCGCAGTGGTGGAGAGGATGTTAAAGATTCGTACCATCTTCAGGGAGCACTCCCTGTTCCATATCATCACCTTCAACTTTCGAGCGTGCCTTCAAAACACTATTACAGTGCTAACCATAAAGTTCGTCGGTAATCGATGCTGTATATTATGTTTACAACATGCAAACCCGTCCCCTTCCTTCTTTCACTGAGGGGAAACAACTGAAACACAGGAAGCAGATGTATTCATTTCAGAAACTTGTTTTCGGACACTAGTTTCTGACATGCTTTCCAAAATCATTTTATGGTTTTTATGCACCACTTAGTCATCAGCTTTAAGTCTTTACGTTTCTCCCCAAAATGTTAAGTCTTAAATTAAAAAATTACAAAGATTGATGAGTGCTCTCATCAGGGTTCTCAGTGCACGTGCTCATTGCACGTGCTTTGACGCTTAAAACCTCGTGCGCCATCACGTCTGATTATTTGAAGTTTGACGAAATTCAGAAGGACGTCATTTAGGAAACACTGCCAGGAACCCTCTATGCATATGTCTCCTGTTCTTTTGGAGTTGACTGGTACACATTTGGAAGTGTTTAACTGCGTGAACTGAGTTCACCCCAAGTCTCGTAGGCCATTTATGTGTCTTTGAAAGATACTTCTCCCTTGCACGTCTTAAATAATCCTCTTCGTCATCTGCAAAAATCGGCCAGGTCAACTGGTTTTGTTCACGACGTTATCGACGTAAAGTGTGAGAAATTGAGGTCTAAAAGAGTGGCCACTTTGACAGTATCCTGCTCTAACGTGCGGCCTCCAGTTCTAAAACTCATTTCGTTTTCAACCTACGACATTCCTGAGTCAAAATATAAGGGTTCAACCATCGCCAACGGAAGATGGCTAGTAGAGAAGATGTTACTTAAAAACAATTTCGAGAGTCTTGTTAGAGTCAAAGTATACAGTTTGAATAACGTATGCAACGCTCAGATCCTTTTTCGTTTTTTCTGTCGCATTTAAGATGTTCGTACAATACGGTCGGTTTTAAGAAAGGTCCTATTGCTCGTCAATAAAGTGATACATTTACGTTCAAATAAAGTGACCTGGACCAGAAAATTTTCGGTATTACTTTGCACAAAATGTACGTCAAAATGACCGGCCTGTAGTTCTTGATTGGGAAATGTGGGCTGCTTCGGAGATCTATCAGGTATTTTCTAGTCTTCGGAGGTAATGAGAGTTATCACAGTCTGATGACTGGGGTATTAGAATGCAGGAGGCCTTTACCAGTTCCCTTGTAGACCGTCTCGCCATTATGCTGGGAATCGCTCAGGGTGCAAACAATTTAATTTCTCTAGTTATGACCTTTCTATTAGCTCAATAGTGCGATGAGATATGGTTTACAAAAGGCTTCAAGATGAACCTGTATTCATCATTATTAAGGGTAGGCGTTCTTCACTGCAAGCGAAGTAAATATCAAAATGGACACTCAGTTTTAAAGCTTCAGTAAGTGCTTTAAAAAAATAAAAACACCCTTGAGTTTAGAAGTCATAAACGATTAGAAACTAAGTCATGGCCAGCAACACATGAGGTAGTTTCTGGCATAAGAATGGACATAATTCAAGCAAACTCAGAGGATAATTCCTCCGGCAAAAACTTCAGCCACCAACCAGTCTGAAATCTAGAAGAATTGTTAACTTTGCTGCTAGTTGAACGTGCGTGTTCCGATTTTCGGACGACAGCCACTTTTATAACCCCGATTTTCAGACCGAAAAATCTTTGAAAAATGTTGTTTTGAAAATAGACTTAAGGACAAATATGTGTGAAAAATGGAACAATTTTAGCTCATACAGTAAAACGATGAAAACAAATTATATCAGATTTTGTGGTTACTGTCATATCCTGATGGATGTCAAATTCGCAAAAACGTGTGCTCAGATGCCCGAATGATATTTCCACCACAAATGCAGCGCGAATGTAACATTTGTCTATATGGTTTTGTTCTAAAATTCTTGACAGTAACTAGACACACTCGCTAACTAAACTACGATTCCGTTCACTAGTAGCCGGGCAATTCGTATATCAACTCATGTGTAAATTATAAATGAAATAAAGTATGATCAGAATACAATCAGTATATGACAAGCTACATGAGCATCTTTCTCAAACCTGCGTATAGATCGTTTGTCGAATATGCCGTCATTTTTTCAATGAAATAATGTAAAAGAGAAAGATTTCTTTCGCAAATGAAGCTACATTTGCCATTAGTTAGTAAACTTGGTCAAGTCAAACACGACCACAAGTTCATGGAGGGTGTTGAGACACTTTTAACTATGCATCTGAAAGGGCACGAAACATTAAGATTAGTGAATTTTGAGAGTTGAAGTATCTTAACAGAGGTTTGCTAGAGACCTGACAAAAGCTTTTGTTCCAAAATTGAAACCACATTTAACAGCGTTCACGTTTCCAACGCTTGTTACTTTGCACGGAAAGTTTTCGGAGGCAGCTGTGCTTATAGCTTTTTTAAAAAACGGCTCTAATTGTTAATATTTTCTCACGACAATATCAGGGTCCTTACTTTGAACCCCACTGTCATATAATTATACAGGGCAAAAGCTGTCATGTCATGTCCTAAACTATCTATTCAATCAGTTCGTATTGAACACTATCTAAATGGGATTAGAGTTAGCTGTAACCAAAATCTCGAAGTAAAGGCATTTTCTAACAAATTTACAATTACAACGGAGACTGATATTGAGGTAATTATTTTGCTGGGGCGGTGATTAGGAGAAAAAGATTTATTTTCAACGATTTAAACTTTGCATCACTTTCTTTACTGGTAACTATCCTCTGGATAAGTATTTAAGAAGACTGAAGACAAAAAATAACATTTATCGGCTTATGCTTACCCTATGAACTGCAGCAGGACGTTTTAGTTCAGGAGGGCTTTATAAGTGAGAATGTATGACGTTTGATAGTGGGGGAGGCCTATATAATCCAATGAATCCTGTATTTACTCTTGTGTTTCATCACCCCTTGCATCACGAAAAACCGTTTTGGGGCTCTAAAATTTCGAGTGACTCGCTCCGTCCTCACTAGAGTAATTAATTCATAACAAAGAAGTAGTCAACTTTTTGATAATGAGGATTATAAAAAGCAAATTGTCAGGGTGGAAGTTTCGAATGAAAGCGTAACTTTGTTATTTATTTCGTTCATCAAGAAAGCTGCTGACTTTGTTTGCTGTTAAATAGTTTGTTAGGTTGTTGGAAATTATGCTTATATTTACTAAATATTTGTGCATATGAATAAGTAAACCATATATTTATAACCTAAAAGACAAACCCTAATGACCCTTCAAATTTCGGTCGGAAAGGACGTATTCCACTAGACGATTACTGAAACAATGATACAATATGTCACTCAAGCGGACAGCTCAACTTCCGACGCTTTCTTAAAAGTTGCATTACATTTCGAACAGACTCGCAGCCCTATTGTTAGATGCGGCGGTTGCTTTACGATAAAGATAATTTCCGCGATCATTTTGCAAACTTCAAGATTGACAGGAAAATACAAAGTCCAAGTAACGTTTCTGTGAATCCAACCATTCTATCTCGATGACGCTTTACATGCTGATGTTACCAGAATCGTATTTAGCTTGCTAATTCTCATAAGCTAGTACACATTCAGAATTTGTTTGAAATATTTGTCGAACGTCTACAACGGACGCCTGAACTCGTTAAATATCGTGACGTAGGTGCGGATGCTTCTTGAAGGTGCACTTGATGTCCCACTCCTGCTTATTAGACATACGATGTTTGAGCGTCCCTTTTCTGATGCAAAATATGTCCGGAAGCTGTTTCATTGTCATGCTATTGGTAGTGAAAATTACCTTTTACTTTGTCAGTGAATGCATGTCAAAAAAACTTTTGCCGGCCTTCATGGTTGTTCGTTCAGCAAACCCACGAGAAAGGTGTGACAGGTTTGTGCAATTAAATTAAACACTTTTTTCGTCGTCAAGCAAGAATGCACGCGTGTAATTTAATTTATGTCTAAGATGTGCATTTACGCTACTCTGTGCTCGTCCCCTTCCTTCATAGGCAAAGGAATGAGACAGCGCCTAGTCAATGGGTGCTGGCCTGCTGTCAGGCGTAATAGGTGAAACGCAGTAGCGGTGTTGATGAGGAGCTGAATCAGCGCCGCAACTCATGATGCCATCCTGAGGCACTACTTTATTTTTTCAGAATTGCGTAATCCAGGCAACAAACAAGCAAGGTAGGCCTGACCTCACAGAGAGTATCACCGTAGAGGTGTGTGAAATCGATGGCTAGTAGAGGAGTGTGTTGTCGCTTCCACCTTCTCGTCAGCTTCCAGAACTCCCACACGCAAGCACCTGTTGAGAGACAGAAAGCAAACGTTGGAGCGACGAGAGGTCCTTTATCAGTACGCGCGCGCCATGAATAAAAGCTAAGCGCTGCCAGTATCCGCATTAATTGGCAAAGCAAAAAGTAGGAGAAAAAGTGGTAGGCACTCAGAAGTGTACTCATTTCGTCCTACAGATGCATGTTTTTGGGGAACGCCGGTGTCCGTGTTGCGTTTGCTTCGAATCACCTACGAAGTAAGTCCTAGTGCATGAAGTTTTTGTCCCAACTCGTTTTTTGTTAAAAGCATTTTCTTGAGAAACTTTTCGCGATCAGCGTTTCTTATGTATTGGATAAGTCGACGGGACTTCATTTTGGAAGTTATTATGGGTTAACTGTTATAAACATAAATTGCATAGCATGCGCTTCAGCTTATATAACGAAGAAAACCGCTGCGTTAAATAGCTATGTTCTTTTTCTTAAGCTGGCAACTCTCAGGACATTCTCGGTTGAAGTTGTTTCATTTTGCAAGGGAATATAAGTCGGATAAAAACAGAACTTGCCTATTTCTAAATCATTTACTGATTATTGTACACCACATATCGTGTCGTTTAGTAAATAGGCACCATATGATTCCATCTTCAAATATACTGATTACAAAGCAACTAATTCTTACTTGTTTCTTTACCATACACAGACCCCGATTCAAAATCTAGTTTGTTTGTGAAATCCAATTAAATGATCAGGCAAGAAAAGCCAAAAGTTTATTACCAATAACAAGCCGAATTTTGTGGATAAGAACAGCAAAACAACCTAAAAACCCGCGTAACTGGCAAATTAAATTATTTTGCAATGGCGTTGTCCAAGTTTTACTATTATTTGATTTTTGCTACTGTGTATCACCATTTTTCTCAAAAGTCAACTATTGTTTTGATGGCTGGATTAAATAGACATCTCTGAAACTCGTTAACGAAATATTTAAATTAACTGGAATATTTTGCACATTTATTATATCCAGTTTGGGTGCGATGTGTAGTTAAACTGCGTTTATGAAGCAACCGTGGATTTAGTTATACCAAATTTCTCATCAAGAGTATTAATTTAGCTGTGAATACTTCTGTCGTACTGATTTTGAAATGTGCACATATTGTCAGATTGAATGTACTCGTATATTGTAACAGGTCTAGTGTATACTAATGGGTTTCGTCAAAAATTTAGCGCTCTTTCATTAATTTGGTTATGCTGCATGCATCCTCTAGATTATTCAAAAAATACCGCCAAAATGCGTTATTTTCATGCACGCGTTTATGAAAGCAATTGATGACATTACGAATAAAACCGCCAGTTCCCATTTTTAGATCTTTATGCTTACTGCCAAAACACCTGGATCAGGTATCAATTGTCCTTTGTTGGAAAGTCATCCTGAACCCTATTTTATGGAAGCTGTGATCGTAATTCAGATAGTTTTAGGTGCCGAAATAAAAAGGAAATAAGCATTAAATTTTCATAAATTAAGAATATGCAGTCATGCTGTTAAACCCCCGGCGACATGTGAATAGGGACTCCTACCAATGTACACCAGTCTTATGGGACCGAATATTTCTGATACCCGTTAATTCGGCAGCAATCCATGGTGGAGTGGAAAGGGTCTCGTCTGAAGATTTTCAGGACTGGTTTTAAGCTCTGTGGGTTCCGCGGGATTAATATACTACTGTCTGACGACAGAAAATAAGCCACAATTCGTCATCCCGGTGTGTTTTCTTAATTGACGCCCCCTTCAGAATTAGAGTTGTGAAAATTCCCATGGCAATATTCAGAACACACGCTGGCGAGCCAACGTTGCTTTCAGTGAATTCTTTTTTCGCCATTACAATTATATGGGAACGTCGCACAGTCGAACATGGCAGTGATTAAAAAATCGATAAAAGTTAGTTTTAAAACACAAGCTAGGCAGAAGCAGAAGGGTTCAGAAAGTTGAATGTGATTAGTAAACCTTTAACCACGGTAAGCGTGGAGCCTGAACGAGGCTCTTCTGGGCACATAGGATCGGCTTTCAAAACCTGGTGGCGGCCTCTTCTGTTCTTGCTAACCGGCACCGTCCCAGTAGCTTAGGGTAGCTCGAGGGGACCTTATAAATCACACGAAATGCTTCAGCGAGGTCCACGTGATGCCCTAAATCAACTGCCTGCGCAAGGATGGCGTTGTCCATTCTCTTAGTTTCGCCTTTTGCAAGCCATGCGGGGAGGTGTTCTTGTATTCTTTTGGAAAGACGCCGACTCGTACGACCCATATAGCTTGCTCCAAAGGAGCAAGTGAATGAATAGATGCACACTGAGGTGGTCTGAGTTGGCAGCTTATCCTTGTCTTCTCCTCGGGAAGTAGGGTTAGTGAAGTATGATATTGGAACCCTTGATAGTAGAAAATTTCTCAAGACAGCTTGATCAAGGCGACTTCTTAGGAGTTTACTTGCAGCGTCTCCTTGGAAAGGGACTTTGAGGAACAATGTTTTCATTTTGGCAATCAGTGAAGTGGGCTTTTTTCGGTCGTTTGGCAATGTTCTTTGACCTGAAGAGAATTTATGGAAAGTAATGTCTGCTCATCATGCTTGTCTCCTTCATAATTAACCGGTTTTTACTGTGCAGCCGCTAGCGTTAGTGGCTGGCCGTCACTAAAAAGGCAACAGGGAGACGTCTTTTCCTGTTCTAAAATTAGCACAACGCAGTTCGCGCCTTCCTTACATGCTCACAATTGTTATTTCTGGAAGAAGTATAGAGCTACATACATGCAGATAGGTGCTTGGAGGTCGATGTAACTTGATTACTTTAGTATCTTGACTGATGGGCAGGTCACCTGAATCCGACATTTCCCGAAAACTCATTAAATTCCGCAAATATTGAGTGATATTTGTTGCATTCCTATAACTTACCTACACAGTCATCTCTACAGAATACTACGTTTTTATCTTAAGAAGGATAAGTTTTCAATAGGCATTCCAATAACATGGCCAACAGAAGTGTAACAAACATATTTCATTATTTTTCACATGAGCAGCTAACCTGAGGACTCAGTTCATTCGGAGACGTGCAAACAGGGTCCATGGAGGGGGCTATTTGTCAGCATGAAAAAATATGATGAAAGGCCAATTTTAGCTTGTCAGATTTTTGTGTTAACAAGTAGAAACGTCTATAGGTGAATTAGGAAATAAAAATAACGTCTTGATGTTAACACCACTAAATGTGAAAGTCGCTGTATGCCTTGTTTTTGGATGTTATTTGTGTCCTTTTTGTGGTCTGGTTGAGACTAAATCCAAACTCAATTTGCTGTTTAATCATTATTTAAAAACACGACACGGGTGAAAAATGTCAGGTGCTAGAAAGAGAACCCTAATGTTGATTACAGAAATTAATCTATACAGACCATGTGGCTCCTTCAAATCTACATCGAAATATGATCCAACACTTTAATGATTATTTAGAAGGATGCACTTGTGAAGCTCCTCTTGTACATCATTGTTCCTTCCAATTTCTAGCTCGAGATATAGTCCAAGCCGCGGTTTTGTCAGACGTTCGGCAAAGTAAGTTATTCCCCAAAGGCGATCAATTTTGTGCCACTGCTTTTGTCGAAGGACTGGTCATCGTTGAATTTCCTCTGTTTTAGCCCTTCGCCGTGTAGGGTTCACAAAAGTCGGAGCCCTAGCAGACATACAAGAGTAGGAGACGACGACCCCTTTGCGTACATGTGCACCGGGGATGTCTACGCAAATAGGCAAGTCAACCAGACCTAGAGTGTTGTTTGAATAGCCAATAATTGCATTTCATTTACCAAGTGCCAATTGTATCACATAGGCTTGTAGGTGTAGACTTATTTCCTTAAATTTTACCGTCTCGCCTACAGTATCAGTTAAAAGTAACTCTCATAAAGGCTACTTTGACGAGTTCTTTGTAGACAAGATTAGTTTTAAGTGGCATTTCTCAAAGCAAACTGCTGCAGCTTTCCTAAAAGGGTGAATTTGTAGTATCACTTCAAGGCTGAAATATCAGATAGAGAAAACTGGTGGATGGCGATAAACGAATAAAAATAAATTCTCCCTTACTGTATGAGTAGAACCCAGTGGAAACTTTTTTCCAAAACCCTGTCCCGTTGTTGCCTAATATATATTGCTTTCAAAATCAGGGCCTTCCTGAAGTTGCTTAAAAAGAAATACAACTACGTTCCTTACAAGGCATCCTCGGAGGAAAATAATGTCCAGTCTCTATCGCGAAAGGTTCGTTAGTCCTGGTCCAATTGTGCACCTTTTCTTCTCTACTTTTATAATAAAAAAGGCATCCTCTTTCAGTCAACCTACAGAGTTTGCCCGATAAAATCAAAGGCCGACTTAGAAGAAGGTAAAAATGTGATTTTAAAAACATTTTATAACACGCTTGAATGCGTTTGAATTTCGGATGGATAAAATCTGTATTTCTATTGCCTTACGAATCTAACATTTTAGGGGATCTAATAATTGAAACGCGCGACCATAAGTATTTGAAAGTGCTTGGCCCGGCTGATGCCCCGGAAGATGAAGAATTTTTTGTCTGTAAGTTGCCCAAGACTAATAACCGTAACCAGAAATAAGTTTTAATGAAAGCCGAATCATTCTCTTACAGAACCATGATGTATTATAAACATATTATTATATCTAGTTATCGAGGGAAAGGATTCTAAAGTGCCTCCTACGTCTGACGACTCTTCCAGCAGCTCCAGGTGACTGACGTGTATTACTTGTTCTTTTTACTACGACTGACTACATTTCATACCATGCATAGTTGTGGTACATTTAACTTAAACTTACCGCACTTTACTTAACAGTGATTAGCCTTTCCAGTAGATATCGGAATGCATCTATATTCTTAGACATCAACAACGTTGTGGCAATAGGCAGAACCTTCAAGGTCACTTAAACGATGCAGCCAGTTGAGCCTTAATCAGTTTTCGGGTGATTATCATTACCATCAAGGCAAACCAAAAGATGCCGCCGGCCCGACAACTAAACACTGGGCACAGTTTCCTTCTGTGATGTAATCAGATGGTTGTTAAATCCATTATCTTTTCGTACCGCAGGTACGCACTGGCACATTCCTCAACGGCTGGTCTGCCAAGGGAAATTCTGTTGCTGCTAAGTAGCTGGTTTTTCCATACTTGTTTTAATTCACTCGACAGACCATTTGTACTCGAAAGGTCCCTTTATTTGGAGTGTAGTCTTCCCTGGAATGTGTTGCTTACGTTAAACCACTGATGTGTCTGTCCGTCGTTTTATCCAGCACCCTTTAAATGACTGCGGTGCTACTAAGGATAAAGTCCGTCCACTGTTTTTTCGTTAGCTGCTCTCTAGACAGCCTATTTGAATGAAGGTCTTTGATGAATGCGATCGACTCGGTGGTGAACAACCGTTTACTCTAAAGGCACAATAAGGCTCAGTATATTGGGTTGTTATTGGACACTACGCAATGGATTTTTCCAGTAGCATTTTAATTCACTTTATTTCCTGCAAACTATATTTTAGCCCAAGCGATACAGAAGACAGCTGTATCCATAAGAGGCAGGGTGTCCAATGCCAAAGTCCGAGCAGGAGCCCGTCTGCCCATCGATACTTTTGTCACAGGTTAGATAAAATTTCACTTTAATTTAGAATTTTAGTTTTCCATAAAATTCTCCGAGGAGGTAGCTGAGATAAGTTTAAATTTTCCTGTAGAACCCTCGAAATTATAATATAGTGGTTAGCAGTATTGAGGGAGTTAGACAATACCTAGGTTTAACCAGTCGTATGTTTTCAATGTGCATATCACAATACTACTCAATTTTCTGAACACGGTTTGTAAAAGAGGTTGATGGAGGTAAAGGGCATGGTACAGAAAGGCCTTGGGCTACACCAAATACGTACTAAACTTTGTGAATTAAGCCAGATGGGAATTTCAGAAAGACCATGTGTTTTAATTAAAGACTAAAAAGAATGATTTGGCACATAAACATAGTGGCAATATTATTTTGACAAAAGTAAACTATGTCTACAATAACGTGAATAAATGCACAATTTAAGATAAATCGGACAGATGAGGAGCCACGGCAGCATCAAGCATGCAGAACGTTTTAATTGACAAATGACCGAAACTTCTAAAGTGTAAATGTTTTTATTGTAGGATTTGCAGTAGGTGCAGCGTCACCTGTGGAAAGCCGATATGTGTTTGCTGCGGCGTAAGTTGACAAACCTTTCCATTTGACCACTCCTCATCATACTTGTTGGCTAGTAAGCCTTTTTCAAAAAACCGTGTCATTTATTTTGTGGAAGAACAGAAAACCACGGAGAGATCTATGAATAAAGACACAGCCACGATATGGCCAGTTAAACAATCGTTTGAAGGACATATGCTCAACTTTTGACAGGTCAATTCTGCCGGTTTGGTTTATATTCTTTTGAAATCAGTTGGATAAGTGAAGCGAGTCGTTCGATGATATTAAATTTCTGCGTTTTGGTCATATAGAGGGTTGACTGGCAAAAAATGTGTTCTGCTGTTTTAAAACTTCGCCCAATGCTAACGGGATTATACATATAAGGCCAAATGTTTGAGAAAACGCCTTATTTCAGACTTGTTAACTTAATACATTTTTTGCGGCAAAGATGTAGCAGTTGGCAGTTATTGTTGTCTTCGTTAGGATTCAGCCATTAACTCAAATATAGGTTTTTTAAATTTTAGGTTGCAATCAATGATTGCTAGAGCCTCACCTACGTTCAAGTATCCCCTTCGTTTTCGTCGTTTTTAAATAAAGTAGTACTACATATTTCTTCCGAGTTTTGTCGTTTTTTTGTATGCGGACGCAATGGAATAACTTTTCCCAATGCTGTCGCTTTAGAAAACTAGGAGTGTATATTTTATGTGCTTACGAATGCCCATGAGAGTTCGAGTTTGCTCTTATTTACTGCGGAAGGTTATGTCAGTAATGCAGTTGGTCTGCGAATTGATTAGGATATGAATATAAGTCGTTTCTAAAATAAATCTATTTCACGTGAATGTTTATCCTCTGTCATATGGGAAGAAACTGCCTAGGACAACCTTGAATAAGCCGACCTGGTACTACTCAGCACCAATTTTGGCAGGTCAATTCAAAGTCCACAGTAGGGTATATGGGCGGGTATTCGCACACTTCTCTCTCCAGGCCAATTTTCCCTTTTGCAAAATGCAATCGTTGACTTTTCATTTAACAAAGCATGGTTACGATTGGGTGCTTTTTTTTCAAACAACTATACAAGAAAACGAACAGACCTTTGTTTTGCCATTCATTGGTGACTTACTCATTGTAACCCGGAAAATTAAGTGACAAAAATTGGGAGGATTTCTAACAGCGAAAAATATCCAGTATTTGGCTTAACATCAAGAGGTGGCATCACTTTGACACCGTAAGCTACTGGAAAATTTGGAACGCTATTTATCTCTCGGGTTTTGAGAAGTAGAAAGCAGAGACAGTCAGCGGACATGTCCCGAGAAGTCTCTTAATGCGTGCCTCCTGAGTTTTCGTTCTATACGCTACCTCAAGCAGATCGCAAGCGCATTTCTTACACCCTGTCTGGCAAGATGTAAAGGATTGCGAAGGCAGCTAGAAACAGAGGACATCATTTCATCTTTGGAGGAAGATATTGTAGGTGGATTTCTAATGAAACACTGACCGTACTTCTGAACTGCGCTTCCGGCTAAAATTGATTGCAGAGATACGGTTGCAACATGAAATAGCATGTAACATTATCCCAAGATATTTCGTTTACAAAAGAACTCTCGCACTTAAGTGCCCGTTCGTTTGGTCGTTTCAAAAATCATGCCGGCCATATTCGACTACTTAATCAGTGTGATTTTTCCCATTTATTTTCGATTACCTTATAAGCTTACGCATATTTTAAATATACCACGCATTAGAGTACCCTTACGGTACTCATTATGCAGGAAATTACGTCTTCGAATGCTCAGCTCACGGTTGAGTCACATAGCGCAGGTGACTTGAAGGTTGACTGTACTCAAGTCTTCCCCTTGCTGTAGTGGGCCCAAATCCCACCGTGGTTACCTGGTTTGCACAGTTGTATCACGATCAATTTTATCAGCATCGTATTTTTTGAAATTCCATTCCGGATGGAGGTTAAACATATGCTAGTTTTGTTGCTCCCGCATGATGTCAGTAAAGTCTGTCGATCGACAGACGCGCAGACTAACCATGTATGTCTTTAGGACGGCGGCTGACTGTTCATAGTTGATCGTTAGGGAGGTCGCTGTCACCACGTCAAGTTTATACTAATAATTATAGTGTATTTTAGGGTAACAGGCAATGCCGTTGATGACCCTATTGAAAACGGTACATAAAATATAAATGTAAAATGTACATCTTACTAACATTTTGTCAGTAACATGTTTGTTCACAGAAAATGTTTTCACAATGCGGGACTGCGAAGGGTGCGGCAAGCGGTCTTCTCAGTGCACATATGAAATTTTAAGTGCAGTTATATACAGCATAAAGTGCTGTCATTCGCATAGTTTGAGAGGAGACATTTCATTAAAGTCAGGGATGTGTTAAGTAGGGATGAAATCAAGAAATGAAATTTCTGGCTGGCCGCAGATAGTCCTGTTGTGAAAGTCGTCGTTTATCAAAGATCAAACGATCGAGCTGCCTTTTGAATACAGCGATTGTATCAGATGTCACTATTTCACTTGGGAGTGAGTTCCATGGTCGAACAACACGCTGGCTGAAGGAAAACTTCCGATTGTCTAGGCGTGTACGCTCCCGCTTGACTTTGTACGGGTGACCGCGCAGGTGACGCGTGGTCGTGAATTCAAAGAAGTCGTCCGTTTTTAGCGAACATTCATGCCCGTGGATAATGCGGAATGTCCATAACAGGTCGCATCTCATTCGCCTATAGAATGGGGGGAACAAATTTAATTGGATCAGTTTTTCTAGGTATGACAGAGTCCTGAGACCGTCCACCAGTTTTGTGGCCCGTCGTTGCACCTGCTCTATGGCATCACTGTCTTTCTTCATCCAGGGCATCCATGATGGCATTCCGTATTCCAAGTGCGGTCTGACGAACGTGCCGAATATCTGTGAGAAGAGTTCTGGAGGAAAGATTTTGAAGGCACGCCTAATCCAGTGCACGATGTTGGTTGCCTTTTGGATGACTCCTTTGCAGTGCTGGGAGGGCAGCAAGTTTGAGCATGTCCAGATACTTAAGTCTTTGTGCGTGTCCACTTCTTTTAGTGAAATCCCATTTATGGTGTACTGATGTTTTTGGAAGCGCCTCCGTCCAGATTCTAGTCGCAAGACTACACACTTGGATACGTTAAACGCTAGAAGCCACTTGCTGGACCACGCAGCCAGCTTATTAACATCTTCCTGTAGCTTCTGCACGTCTTTAACGCAGCTGATTGTTTTCCAAATCTTTATATCATCTGCAAACATGATGCCATCGCATTCAAGGTCTGCAGGACAGTAATTAATATAGATGAGGAAGAGGAGAGGACCCAAGACTGAGCCCTGCGGAACGCCGCTTTTTACTGGCACCCATTCGGATGTAGTGGCACCAACGATAACTTTTTGGAGCCTGCATGACAGGAAACTTTTAATCCAATTAAAAATGCTGCCCTGTATTCCACACTCCCAAATATTCTGTAGGAGTCGTCTATGAGGAACGCTATCAAACGCCTTCTTAAAGTCAAAGAAGATGACGTCCACTGGACGGCCCTGGCCTATGGCTCTTGTCCACTTTTCCTGAGAGTAAAGACTGCTTGTAAGACAGGAGTGACCACGACGAAATCCGTGCTGAGCAGCACATAACAGGTCCCTCTGATCCAGATACGACGTTAAATGCCCTTTAATAATTCGTCCCATTACCTTGCATAGAATGCAGGTTAAACTAATAGGACGGTAGTTTTCGGGTTCCAGCCTGGATCCTCCTTTATAGATTGGAGAAATATGGGCCGTTGTCCACTCCTCCGGCAGTTCGCCTTCGTCCATGGACTTCCGAAATATCATGGACACCGGCTCGCAGAGTACATCAGCTAATTCTCGGAGGACAATTGGATGAATTTCATCTGGACCTGGTGATTTGGCAGGTTTCAGCCGGCGTAGTTCGGTCCTTATCAACGTGGGTGAGAAGAAAGGATTGTCTTCCAATGCAGGACAGGAAGGATTTGGTCTTTGGTCTACGTAAGGCATGGCAGGAGGGTTTGTGGCATGAGTGAATATCGACTGAAAGAAATTGGAGAAGGCTGATGCTTTCAGGTGGTCATCTGCCTCAATTACTCCGTTTTGGGATCTTAGCGCTGGAATTGGTTCAGGATTGCTCTGTCCATTACGTATGTAACTATAGAGGATTTTAGGATGCTCCAAGGAATTTTGTAATATGCGCAGCTCATAGGTGCTTCGAAGTCTATGAGCCTCGCGTTTACACGCATCCCGCTGTCGCTTGTATTCCTTCAGATCTTCAGAACTGTCTGTATGTCGGTAGCGTCTCCACACTTTATTTCTCCTCTTAAACGCGGTTTGAAGTTTCCGGTTTGTCCAGGGCGGACGGTTGGTTATTTTCTTCCGTCTGAGTGGACAGTTTAGATCAACGATTCTTTGACCAGTGAGCTGAACGTGCTCCAATAGTCATTAACTGTTCCCTGCAATGTGGTTGTTCACGGTATTGCTGAGACTTGCGTTCGCATGCTAGAAAAATCCCCTTTCCAGATATTTGTTTGTAATTGTTCAGGTGAATTTGGCTGGGAGAACATGGAATACTCGAAGAGCATCACAATATGATCAATAGCACCAATTGGCGGGAGATCTTATATATCCAGCACACTCTCCTCATCTCGAGTGAGCACCAGGTCGAGGCAATTTGAACGTTGCCCTTCCCTAACACGTGTTCCGAGAGTTACATTCTGGAAAAGTAGTTTTTCTGCTGTCAATTCAAGCAAATGTTGTCCGAATGTGTTCGATGGACCCGACACCGTCCAAGCTTGTCAGTCGATATTGGGGGCGTTAAAGTCCCCGACAATAAGAGTGTCTCTGTTCGAGCAGGTCTTGTTCAGTTCCATTAGGAGAAGGCTATCGTGTTCAGAAATCTGGTTTGGGGGACGATACACAACTGCAAACGCCAGCGGCCTGGCGTATTTAGTGGAGATAGTTAAAGGTTAGAATTCCACTTCCGCTGTTGTTGTTGGATTATGCTCAGGGACCGCGGTTAGGTTGTAGCTAACATAGACAGCGACCCCTCCTCCTCGGTTTCTCCTGTCTCTTCTGAACAGTTGATAGCCTCTGAGGGATACCTCGTGGTCTCCAATAGCTTCAGAAAGCCATGTTTCTGTCAAGGCGATTATATCTAGCGTGTGCTCGTCGATCAGAGTCCTGAGTTCATCCATTTTGTTAAACAGGCTCTGCACATTCGAATACAGCACCTTTAGTGTCCGTCTTCTCGGGGGGAACTGGCCTTGATTACAAAGGGGGTTAGCCACAGGAACGATTGTTTGATCTGTTTTATCTTGCCTTTCTTTATTTTCAACCCCTTTCCCCATCTTCTGTCCTTCTTTTCAGTTCTGTCCAGAGCTCCCTCAGCTTGTGTCTTTCTGTCGGTTCATAATCCGGCTGAAAAAACACTTCCTTATGCGAATGGCGAAGGGCCATCCTCCATTCTAGGAGATGTGAGGCGTGGGCTTCATTTGCAAGAATAATTTTAAGAGGCCTTGGTAATGCACGC